TTTATATTTGTGAGGACGAGCGAATCAGGTGAGTGGGTGTGTTCGTATGTTTTTCATTTGTAGACGAAACACAAGCCATGTATCTTTGATGGGTTTCTTCCTATGATATTCAATAATACTTTTTTTCTTTGTATCCGAAATTTGAAATAATAGGAGAGTGACGAGACGTGTTTATATCTGATCAAAGAATTAAACGAATTTTTTAACAATTATTGGATAATGTCTAAAGTTATTATAGTGCTGCAAATTTAGAGGAGATATGATTGATTGATTGCTGTTTTCTGAACGTACAGTGGCAAATATTTCATGCAGATTTATGAGCAAGAGAAGAATTTTCAAACAAGAAATAAGAAGTTGCATGCGTTGTCGTTGAAAAAGAATTAAAAGAAAGTCCAATAAAAATAAACAAAACTAGTGTATATAATGTGCGAATCCTAAAATACCATTTTCACTGTACCCGTTATGAATTTCTAAGGTAGAATGATAAATAAACAGACGACAAATTCATGATTTTTGAATAGAATAAGAAATAAGATATAATGTGTACCGTTCATGATATAGGTATGAGATGCGGACGGGTTTTCATGGCGCCTACAGCCATCCAGGTGTAAAATTGATACACAAATAGATAAATATTAAGAATAGTTCACGAACAGAGCGTGCAAGAGATTTAAAAGCAGCAGTTAAGTTTCATTTGCCGAAAAATGTACCTTTTAACATAATTATTAATGGTGTATAACTTAAAACAGGTTTTGTTATTCAGCTTGTTGATTTTGAATTAAATTCCACTATGCTGTTTTCGTTATGCGATTCATGTTTACTGTCGAATAATTATACTAGACTTTAATTTTCACTGTAGGGGCGATTCATTTCTATTGTACATGCGATGCATTTTCACGGAAGGAAATTAATTAATTTTCATCATATAACGTCTTAATTCAGCCGACTCTAACAAAATTTATGAAGTCAGAAGGATTGATTATATGTGACCCGCCACGACATTTCCAGGCTTATGGAGGTAGAACATCATTGTGAGAAAAACGCTGTTAACTATATGTGACTAGCCACTTCCAGGCTAATGAGGGTACATTGTCTAAACTTTGCTTTTTGTATATTTATCTAGAACATTCTGAAGCAAAAAAAACTCTGTCATGTTGTTATGACCTATTTTTTGTAATAACAATGAAACGAGTCATTTCGAATACCGACATGATAATGAGACTGTTCGATGACGAATTTTTCATTATCGAAGACACTAATTTATAAAATACAAAATTATTGTATTCTATTGGCGCTTAGTAATCTTCAACATCGTATTTGAATAAAAATTACAACATTACAAACAGTTCTTAGCTCTATTTTAGAAAATGTAATTTAAACTTGTTAAAATGAAGTTAGTATAAAATTTATCAAAGAAAGCTTTTAGAATTCCTTTTTTTTTAATTTGTCTTTTAACTTAGATTTATGATGCATGTCTCTATACGTAGATGCGACGCGTAGCAGTTTATAAGTAGTTGTTCTCATATATGCATTTGATACAGTGCATTTATTATGGATATATTTTAGACTCCATTTATGAAAATCTATAGATCAGAGAATTTTGATTTTTTGTATCAATTTAAAATGTAGATTCAAATATTTATATGTCGTTGATACAGACAAAAAGATCTTATCATGTCAAAATCATGATACAACAGGAAATTTTCATGTGCACGGTCTGAACACAAGAATTTACAGAATAAGCATATTTCTTACTGAATAGAGAAAAATGGCCAAAAGAATTACAGAATACAGAAATGTAAAACCCACCCACCCCCCTTTCCCCCCCCCTAAGATATTTTAGTGAGCGTTGAGGGTATGCGTCCGATAAACTATTTATTTTTTTATCTTAATATTTTTGTTTGAATAAAATTAATTGAATATTTCAGAAGTTATTGAAGTGTTTATTAACACGCGCCGTTATTTGGAATATGTCATGCATGATCGATGATCATATTCGATTGTTGATTAGGTCTATACAAATACTTAATTAGGTCGTCTGATCTTTAGTAATTAGTGAAGGTAATCAACACATACTAGTTAACCAAGCAAGAAAGGTTTTCTTAGAACAAAAATAAAGATAAAAGTTGCAAAAAATGTTAAATAAACGTTTCGTTTTGTTTGTTATAATATTAAAGCCATTTGAGAATTTTAAGAAATCCATTCAGTTTATTTAATTTGAAAACGTTAACAAATATAGATCTAATTCATTGCAAAGTGTGGCTTCCTTCAGGGATCAAAACCCCGTTTTAACAGCGTTTGTTTAAAGGTTAATTATGCATTGGCCACGTGTCGTTAAAAAACAAACTGATTAACAATATAATAGAGTTACGATACTGTTGTCAGGTCATTAAAGATTGCATATTTTGGCGTTGATATTGATTCACTTATAGGGTCTTTGCATCTGCACTAAACACATTTATTTAAAAACCAGTTGTTGGCATGACACGGGTTATGTTCTTCTCATATATGTTATGATGGTATGATACTAAACCCCTAACGGGAAGGATTGTGCCTGATATTCATATGATGAAGACATAATCTTTCAATCAGTTTAATTGAAGTCTGGAGCTGGCATGTCAGTTAACTGCTAGTAGTCTGTTGTTATTTATGTATTATTGTCATTTTGTTTATTTTCTTTGGTTACATCTTCTGACATCAGACTCGGACTTCTCTTGAACTGAATTTTAATGTGCGTATTGTTATGCGTTTACTTTTCTACATTGGCTAGAGGTATAGGGGGAGGGTTGAGATCTCATAAACATGTTTAACCCCGCCGCATTTTTGCGCCTGTCCCAAGTCAGGAGCCTCTAGCCTTTGTTAGTCTTGTATTATTTTTAATTTTAGTTTCTTGTGTACAATTTGGAGTTTAGTATGGCGTTCATTATCACTGAACTAGTATATATATTTGTTTAGGGGCCAGCTGAAGGACGCCTCCGGGTGCGGGAATTTCTCGCTGCATTGAAGACCTGTTGGTGGCCTTCTGCTGTTGTCTGTTCTGTGGTCGGGTTGTTGTCTCTTTGACACATTCCCCATTTCCATTCTCAATTTTATTGTAAGGTAATAAATATTTCAGGTATTGGGCATTTGTCATTATCATGATTAGATTATCTAATTGACAACAAACACTTTATACAACTAACCAAGTAAGTACTAAAATGTAACACTTTGCAATAAATGGATGATAAATTCCTGCACCATATTTTACTCTTTTAATAGGGAAAATTAAGGAAAGAAAAACGGCGCGTGATATTTGTTTTTTTAAGGATTATAACTTTCTAAAAGAAAACTCATTAGAACTTCGAAATGGTGTATTTCAACTTTGCTTAACTTATTTCAACATTTTAGTTATTTGTCCTAGTTAATTGTGCGGATGCCAGATTTATGTAACATATTTCACTATCTTCACAAAGACAAATACGGATATAACATTCAAATTCTCTTAAAAAAAACCCTCTCAAGACAAACTTCTAAATTCTAGATCCCTCTGATCTTCATTATTATCGATACACTTGTCATACATGTACATCCTGAATAAATCAATTGTTATTTTTATCAAATTTGGGAATTTAAAACTTCTAAAATGTTTCCCATAAGAGCGTAATCTTTCATTCTTCTCTATCTGTATAGATGCACCATTGTATCTATATCTTATCCCTTATGACCATGAAATTTTCCTCCAATGTGTCGTGGCTTTCTATTGGCTACTTTTTTTCAGTTAATCGATTTTCTCAAAATTCTCAGATAATCCCGGATTATTTCAGAATTTTCAGATAATCCAGGATTTTCTCCAGTTAATTATTTATCTAATTTTGTGAGGAATATAATGAATTATCTCAAATATGCATTAAGCTGAGAAAATCCCGGTTTATCTTTATGCATGTTAATATTTATCTTTTTTTTAATGTCCGAAGGAGTGTATTAATGTTTCCTTCATTTAAAAGCACGTTACTATTAACATTTTGGAATCTTTTTGGTTATTCCATATTGATAGAACTTTAGTAGGTTTTTCAATATGAATTGGATTTGGAATAAAACAGAATATTAACTTGCGGGAAAAGTATATTCAGCGCGAAAAAATTCGCGTGCTTTTACGTGCATAATTATGGTAAAATCGTTTGGTGTACAATTGGTTTTGGTAAATTATTGTCATTACATACATTCTCTCTCTCGGAATACGGAATAAAACAATTACTGTCTTTTGTTTCGGTAAATATAGGGTTTGATTGACTTTTGAAAGCATTAAGTTTATCATGTGTCAAGGAAAAATATTATGATTTTGAATATTCATCGAAGCATGCCTCAGAAGCCTGTAATGCAGTGGTTGTCGTTGGTTGTTGTCCGCATACTAATTTGTTATATATAAATCAGGTCGTTAGTTTTCTCATTTGAATTGTTTCACATTTATCAGGGCCTTTCATATCTGATTTTACGGTAAGAGTTTTGCTCATTGTTGAATGCCATACGATGACTTATAGTTGCTTACATCCACGTCATTTGGACTCGTGTAGAGAGTTGTCTCATTGGAAATCACATCACATTTCATTATTATTTTTATATTAAATGATTGCTTTTGAGTAAATTTTGTCGAAATTGAAATAAGTTAATCATTTCAGACACCTGATTACCTGAGATAAAATGTAAAATCATTATAGCAATTAATATGATTTTTATCCATGAATCACTGCTTTTTCATCCAATCCCAACGCCTTTCCCATCCACCTTTTTACTTGAATAAATCCACAAGGCAATTGTTTTCACTTAAAAATAAGAAGACATGTGTCAAAGCAGTTTACATTTTAATATTAAGAGATAGAAAGATAAAAATAACCTTTCTTTTCACTAAAAATGCGTTTTTCTTTTTTAAAATTTTTTTAAAGGGCTATTTGCCTTGAATTTTAGATAACTTGCTTGTATTTTCTTTTTTTACCATTCATTATTATTTCTTTTTTTTTCTACAGGAAATATTGTATTTGTTTCAAGTATTTGTGGCAGTAGACCGGTAAGTTCAACTCCTTTTTTTATGTCGAAAGTATATGTGGTGTAAATAAAGGCAACAATAGTATACCGCTGTTCGAAACTCATAAATCGATAGAGATAAAAACAAATCCGGGTTACAAACTAAAACTGAGGGAAACACATCAAATATAAGAGGAGAACAACGACACAACAAAAACACAACATTAAAAATGTAACACACACAGAAACGAACTATAATATAACAATGGCCATTTTCCTGACTTGGTACAGGACATTTTAAGAAAAAAATGGTGGGTTGAATCTGGTTTTGTGGCATGCCAAACCTCCCGCTTTAATGGCAACGTCAAACACAACACCAAAACGACAACATCACATGACAGGACCACAATACAAATAAATGGGAGAACATATAGGACAAATAAACACACGAATAATAGCTAACAAAAGGTACTAGGCTTAAAATTCAATACGCCAGACGTGCGTCTCGTCCACACAAGACCATCCAGTGACGCTCATGTGAAAAAAGCTTGAAAGCCAAAACAAGTACAAAGCCGAAGAGCACCGAGGACCAAAACTTCAAAAAAGTTGCGCCTAACACGGCCAGGGCTTTCTGCCTGGGACAAGAACATCCTTATTATTTAGAATAATTTATAGTTTTGCAAACATTAAATTTTATAAAATGACTATATAATAGATATACATGATAAAACCGAAGTAGGGACTAACTACAGAATAAAAACGGATACATTACATAAAACAACTTAATCCAACATATAAAAATACACAGCCGAGTTAACCAAAGCATCAACGCACAAAGTGACGTCACATTTGAAATTCTAAAAAAACACACAAAGTGACGTCTCATTTGAATTTGTAAAAATATTTCCCAAAAAAAAGATAGGATTAGGATTGATTCAAGATTAGATTTGTTATACTGACATTACATTTATTAATAACAATGACAATTACAATACTTATTAATATCAAATTGTGGTAGTAATTAGATAATTAGTTGTATTATCTAGCTATGTCGGTGTTTCTTCTGAATCAAACTGTAATCCATATATATCGTATAAATTTCGTTTGGATCCAAACTTAAATCTAATAAATGAAGGGGGTGATTAATTATCTTTACCATAACACACGAATTAAGACTGGTTAGGTTCAATCATCATTTCTAGACATTTACCTCGAATTTGACAACAGCGGTCATCTCAGTACCAGAATCTATAACAAACGAGACGATTTCAATTGTCATCACCTTAGCAGTAATATACCAACTTCACCGCGTATGGAGTGCACATTTCTCAACTCATACGATATTCAAGAGCTTGCAGCTGTTACTCAGACTTTGTAAAACGTCATCGGTGTCTGAGCAAAAAAATTAATAAGCCAGCGTTTGTCAAAGAACGTCTTGTCCCTTTTCACAAAAAGTACATCGGAAAGTTCTAAGACCTAGTAGATAAATATTCAGTGTCTACTTCACGAATAATACAAGAATGTCTTGATTTATAGCTTATAGTTGCTGATGATGTGTATCTTTTTATTTTACATTAGTTTCCCCGTCAATTGTCTTCGTGCTACTAGTATTATGTTTCTTTTGGTTGTATAACTTTTGATGTAAATCGGTATTCATGCATCCCGCCGTCATGTTTTTGACTTTTAACTTTGGGCATTCCTGGTGCAATTGGGTCATGAGGTGTGATTAGGACACACACGGTTTTTACAGTGTTGTTTCCATTTTGTTTAGCCTTGTATTTAAAATATTTTTTTATTTTTATATTATCAAAAAACTTTTTTGTTGACGTTATTGTCAAATTTATTATCTCCTACACCTTTTTTGTTGGTGTCTTTGTTATATTAATTTGTATGTTTGTTTGAATTTTTAAGTCAGTCTGTGATGTATGTTTACACAGTTATTTCTGCTGTATCCCAGTTATTGTCACATTTACCTATTATGTAAGTTTGGGTTGCTTACCTAGTTTTGTCAATATAACGGAAATATACAACTGTCATACAAGTGGGAGGTTTTGCCAGCTGTAACCAGGTTTAATCAACCATTTTCTTTGGAAAATGCCTGTACCAAGTCGGAGATTTGGCAGTTGTTTTTCGCTTGTTGTTGATTTTATCAGTTTTTATGGACTTCCCCTTTTTGAATTTGCCTTGGTGTTCGATATTTTTGTTATATTTTTTTTCTATATGTCTGTGAATTTGACAAATATTTTTGATCAAATGAGTTTAATTTATGGAGATAATTAATTAAAACTGTGTGTCACATTTTACACTATTTTCTGGAATAGCCAGAAAACTAAAACATATACCCCCATTTTGTCTTTTATTAGTAGGAGACAATAAATCTGAATAGTGCCACCCTTGTGTAGATAAAGTGTCTGTTATATTTACAAAACAGTGAACAAAAAATGAAAAGCTTTGAACGCGATATTTCTCGAAAATAAGTACGATGAAATGGATGTATATTTTAGCAAAACATAAGGAAAATCTATTAAATTATGTTACGGATGTCAAGTTGGTTAAATATTTGTATACACTTTTTAGTGTCTGTCCACTTATAGAGTATAGAAATAAAGCATGAGTTGATGGTCTCAATGAGTACCTATACATTGTTTTTACAGATGGGAGAGCTGCCTGTATATTGTATGAGTAAAGCGGCTATTGATATGTTTACACAATGTCTTGCTTTAGGTCAGTATATATTGTATGGCTTTAATGTCCCTTTAGGTATGTAAATAGCTACACCCACTTCATCTGATCTCTGGTGGATTGTTGTCTCATTGGCGATCATACCAAATCTCCTTATTTTTATATAGTAAGGTACCTAGAAAGTCGCAGAGATAACGATATTTAAGAAGGTATAATACAGGGAACATCATCCCTTGTGTTGGGATGGTGGGTTGTTGATGGAGTCGTAGTTTTCATACGGCCAGAGTTTTAGTATATTTTCCATAGAACTGCGACATTGAAGTCAACTGATTTTCATATTTTCAAATGTAACTGAAAGGAATAAAATTGGAGAAGGTGGGGGTGTTCTTGGTTTGATGTAAAACTGCCTTTTTATTTATTAATGTCATCTCGTTCTGTAAAACAGCAGGAAATTTTAAATTGCCATTAATGCACTAACAAACAAGAATGTGTCCATAGTACACGGATGCCCCACTCGCACCATCATTTTCTATGTTAAATGGACCGTAAAATTTGGTTCAAAACTCTAATTTGGCATTACAATTAGAAAGATCATATCATAGGGAACATGTGTACTAAGTTTCAAATTGATTGGACTTCATCTTCATAAAAAAATACCTCGTCCAAAAACTTTAACATGAAGCGGGACAGACGGACGGACGTACAGACGAACGAACGGACGCACAGACCGAAAAACATAATGCCCTTCTACTATCGTAGGTGGGGCATAAGAAGGCTTTTGGACATAAGTAGATTATCATTCTCCTTTGCATCCACACCCCTGATTAATCTCCTCTTCTCATGATTAGAGTTGATGGTCATAGAAGGTTGAGATTTTGGCAACAACTGTACATGTTAATGTTGCTGTGATATTCTATATACTTTATTCAATCCGAACTTTCCATTTTTATGTAACTCCATTTAAACTTGATCTGTATATTAGGTATATATAGACATAATCTACAAATTTTATCAGTTTATATAATGCCTTTAAATTGACGCCTTATTCATTTACGTGTGTTTCATATCAGGATTTCCTGGCTTATAAGGAAACTGCTGAACTAAGAGTTTCTTAATGGTAACGTTGAAAGTCATCTCTTCGAAACTGTTACGGACGCCACCTTTCTTGATAGATCGTTTTTGAATATCCTTGTCAAAGATGGCCATGGATGTTCTATTAATGTTTGAAACATAAATAAGTTGACTTTCATGGTTTATTTCAGAATTGGCTCCATTTGGTGTAAGAGTAAACACCGTTAGGTAAGTTATTTATTTGGTTGGTATCTATTAGGAACATGGCAGTTAGACTTTAAGTAAAATACATTTAATTTACAATAAAATCTATTGAAAAGCACCACACAACCAGGTTATTTCTGGAAACCACTGTCTTAAATGGCATAATAGTAGTATTTTTTCATTATGGTATATTGGCAATCATGTAGTATCTGGTTTTCAGATTTCTGCCACCATAGTTTTACCCCTGCAAACCAAATTTGAGGTATATAGGAACCACCTTGTTCGTCTAACCTTCTGTGTGTTTGTCCGTCTGTCTCAATTCGTGTTAGGGGCATAACTGTTGTACAGTAGCACTTAGATTGACTAAACTTGGTATACAGATGCAGTATTTAAAACTAACATTTTTGACAGTCTTCAGGGTTTTGCAATAATAAATACAAGCATTAATTTGTGAATATACAGTTAAAAAAACTCATCCTTTTGTTCCTGTGCCAGATTGACTTACCGGTAACCCGGTGTCAACCTCACACAGAGGCAATGGTTATATAAAATAAACATATTGAAAGCCAGATATAGTTAGTATTTTATTGGACCATAAATTCAATAAAGTAATTTTATCATGGTAACCTTTCGAAACGGTTCACTGATACTTTTGTTATGATTAATGATAATATATCAACAACATCCTCCGTCTGCAAATGTATTCCCTGTTCAGCTCATACATATATTTATTATTGACTCAAATATACAGATTGACAATGAAGGATGTTTGAGAAATAAATTTTTCAACAAGAGAGAAGATTTCAATTTTCCCATTCTGACGTTTCATTTCTGTGTTTCAACATTCCAGTACCGCTAGCATATTTATTTTCAAGTTGGAACGATATTCCAGGGCTTGCATTTCCTATCATGATTTCTTTGAAAGAGTGTTTATGCTTAAAAGTAAGTTATTGCATCAAGGGTTCCAAATTGAAACTTGGAGTAATCCCTTTTACGGACTCCATCATGATTTAGTTGACCGTTATGCGATATCTGCGTCACAGATGACCACGGATATGTTCAACTTGTCGTGACCACAATCTCGTCGTATCTTCCTCGATTGTGACATTACTAAATGCCTATCAAGGTATTATTTTGTACTTGCAATGTGTAACACGACGGGTGTCACAAGTGAAGCAGGAACTGTCGGCCCTCCCGATACCCATAAGTTCATCCCGGTTTTTGGTGCGGTTTGTATTGCTAATTCTTTATTCTTTAGTTTTCTGTGTAGTGTTTTTGTATTGTTGTTTGTCTTTAAATCGTTTTTCTTTTTGGCCATGGTGTTGTGTGTTTTTATTGAACTAAGGATTTTTATTGTCCCCTAGGTATCCTCTCTCTCTGTCTTAAAAAAATTATACAAATGTTATATACATTATATGTTGATCAGCGCTGAAGCACCATCTGCGTTTGTTATATTTTTTGTAGACTTTCCAAATTAAATATTAGCGTTGACCGCTTTGTTAACAGTATGTTTCCTATTTAGTCCAGGTGCAATAGTTTCAAAGATAACTAGACGTGTAGAAAGCGGATATCAGTCTGATGAAGACTATCAAAAGGTACCTTTATCGTTACTGTGGATTTTCATTGTGACAAAACTTTTGTAAAAGTAATCTTTTTCATTCGAAAATATAAAATCTCCATAGACATTTATTATATGAGTGACACATGCATGCATTCTTCAAATGTGTACCAAAGGTTCAACTTGTGATTGTATATGGGATAAACGCTAAGTCAGACCAAACTAACTATAAATGGCATTTTAAACTGAACACTAAAATATCAGAGCAAAATATATCCACCGTCATCCAAAACTAATTTATACCATTTGAGACGTTTTGTTATTTCTAGGTATCAATTGTTTTTGTTAAACTGTTTCATTGACATGTATTTTCAATAATACTCAACATGAAATGGTCAAATTTGAGTATAACTATCAGTTTCAGAAAGTACTGTCCGCTAAGTAGCCTGTGCTTTGTTACTTGTAAGACTTAAATTATACATTTCAACATTGAATATCCATCACATAAATTGTTTTGATTGTTCAAAAAGATGAAATGATTCTCTCCCTTAAAAAGCTGTCTTTGAACGATTTAACTGTTCTATTTGTGGCCTTTTCACCCAAAAGTTTAATATGTTTGGCTATCCAAATTTTTGGTCTATATCGTAACTGTTGAAAAAATTATTCAATTACACTTTTTTTCGTTGTATTGGGTCTATTTAAAAAATGAAAAATATTTTAATGAGATACTAACGTATATTTTAAATGCAACTCTCACTCATTTAACGTGAAAGTTATGTTGTAAAATTGAATGGAATTTCAGCTTATTACCTAAAAATGGACATTTTAATTTAAGCAATGTTTACGCGATTTATTTTACAAAACGAATTCGTTCTTTTTAATTTTCACTGTATTTGAAAAATTATTCCATTTTATCTGGTTTTACGAATATTTGCCCATGTTATCTTAGTAAGAACCATAGCTGAAAACAGTCCAAAATATCCACCTCATTCATTTATGTGTTCTTTTGTATATTATTAGTGGTTTGAATAAGTGAACATTGTAATGTAAATTATTTTTTTTTTGGCATTTCGAAGCAGCCTTGAACAGAAACATTATTGTGTGGGATAATACTATATCTACATGAATTATATGTACGTCTAACATATTATAATTATCTGGAAGTTTATCCTTGACTATATGTGTTTCATAGATTAAAGTACACTGTAGTTAGAATGTATAGTTTGGTTAATATTATATACAGTATGCAAACAAATCAGCTTCAACCTATTGTCGTTTCAGTTTTTAGTTGCAGAAGCAGCAAGACACCCACTTGGAAGAGTAGGCGTGCCACAGGATGTGGCATCATCAATTTCTTTCTTAGCTTCCGACGAAGCTTCATTTATTTCTGGTCAGATTTTATATGTCGATGGTGCACGACATTGCGTAACCGGTGGAATAACAACAAGTGTTAAATGATACATGTAATTGTGTATTTTATGGAATAATTTATACCATTAAACCTGAAGCAAATTATAAATATTAAAGAGCAAAAGTATTGATTTTGTTTGTCAAAGAAATGGGTACATACGAAATTAATCTTCTCTTAAAGAAAATAATATAAAACACATTATGTGATACCCGGCACACTACAGACAATAAATGAACAACAAAATAAAATAGACAGCAACAAACGACAACCACTGAATTACAGGCTCCTGGCCTAGGACACGCACATACATAATAATTTAGTTATGTCGGGCCATTTTATAGCTTGCTTTACGGTTTGGGTTTTTCTCATAATGGAAGGCCGTAAGGCGATCTATATTTTCTTAAATCTACGTCATTTGTTCTGTGGTCGATAGTTGACTCATTGGAAAAAATACCACATCTCCTTATTTTTTATTTTGAGAGCTGAACCCTTCCCTACATAAAACAATGGTGTAACAGCATAACATTAGAACAAATATTTGAATAAATTTTGTTGGGAAAGAGTTGACTCGTCATATCAGCATTAAGCATACCAAAAACACAAAAAAAACAAACAAAAAAGAGTGCGCGCAGTTAATGAAATTTTTTTTTTAAATGCTTATACTGTGCACATTTCGTCTATATAAATTGCCTTTCCATACCATCATTGGCATGTAAATTGTTTGGTCGAATATTGTAAAAATAATTGTATAATGTTCGAGATTGCATGTTAGTTACGTAAGCGCATCACTGTTTTTGATATCCTATGGTGTTTTTTCTTTGATAGAATATGTTCGTTGTTGTTCTGTGGTTTGCATGTTGTGTCGACTATTATATTATTTGTTTGTGCGTTTCTCTGTTATGAATGTTCTTGCGTGTGTTTGTGCTGTATTTCTGTCACGTAGTGTTTTAGCGATATTTTTTAAACATTGTCATAAAGCGGGAGGTTTGGCATGCCATGAATCCAGTTTCAACCCACTATTTTTTCTTAAAATGTCCTGTACCAAGTCAGGAATATTGCAGTTGTTATCAAATAGTTCGTTTCTATGTGTGTTGGTGTTTGTTTTTAGTTGCACTTCGGTGTTCCTGTTGTTTATTTGTTTTCTTCTTATTGTTGATGTTTTCCCTCGGTTTTAGTTTGTAACCCGGACTTGTTTTCTCCCAATCGCTTTATAATTTTTGAACACCGGTATACTACTGTTGCCTTTATTTAGTCTTGCCAGTTGCGCTCGAATCAAACCAATTGGAAGACCAAATCAAATACTAAGCTGAAGAGCATAAAAAACGAAAATCCCGAAATTTTTTGCCAAATACAGTTAAGATAATTTATGTCTGGGAGAAGACAAACTTAGTGTTTCGAATAATTCGACATTTGATAACAGTAAATTTATAGATAATGAAATTATCAATGATATTTCATGTCGACGCCAATGAGCTGAAAACTAGGCTGATACACACTGGGACGAGTCGTCCACCAGAACATGCAGAAGTGGCATCGATCCTGTGGTTGTTAACAATTAATTAAAAAAATACCACGCTTTTAATTTAATATGTCAGGCGCGCGTTTCGTCTGCATAAGACTAATCATTAGCTCTCGAATCAAAACAGTTGGAAGACCTAGTCAAATACGAAGTTGAAGTGCATTGAAAATATAGTATGGCCATTGGACCTAACAAATTCATTTAAAAATCAGTAAAAAGTTCTCTCCGAAGATAATAATGTGACATTTGGTATATCAGTTTATTATTAAAAGGATCATATCTTATATGAGATGGATATGGCATACATGCTTTTTCCCTAATAAAAGCTGCGGGACTAACTCAATGTCACAACAATGATAGTTCTCTGTTTATTTTGCAGCAATCATATGGGATATTAGCTGATATTTGGTTTTTATTGGTGAATTCGGTACTTACATAAGCATTTTGTTCCGGTTGTATTTTTTTTCTACTAAATTACTTTCCTTTTACTTACTAGGCTGAACGAAAATAACAATGTTCTGCTACGTGATGAACCTTTATAGCAGAACCTGAACTTATTCTTTGGATATAATATATAATGACAAGTTTCAGATCTTTCATGACCGTCAGAATGGTTAAGCTGGTATTGACCTTGTCACAGATCAGACTGGACCATCTATTGTAAAAGGCTTTGTGAATATATTTGGATCAAACAGTTGCAAATGACTTTATCGGCTGAATACATTCAACCAACCGGGTTAGGCTACGAAACCACTTCTAAATCTTTTTTATAAAAAAAGGTTCAAAAGGGTTTTCTCACATGTGGGTTATTTTTTTATTTTAAAATCTCTTTTAGCTTCCAAATCAGCCTTCTCTGTTTAAGATCTGAGGAACAAACAATACACTAGTCGATATCATGTATAGATATTATATTAGAATAAAGGCTAATTGTAGTGTCCATCTGAAGCATTTATCTTACCTCTACAAAATCTGTTATAGACTCTTTTTGTGCTGCTGTTCTATCTATAGAACGAAACGTATCGCAGTCCGGTTTCAGTTTAGGATCAGTCGATGATCTCATAACGACCCCTGGTTTTAAATTTCATAGTCCGAAAGGTGCATCGGGTCTGTGCCAACGTAAATCCAAACTCCAACTTATATCGGTTGTAACATTTGGAAAGCTGAATGAGAAGACACTTTAAATTCAAAACAGAAGTGTAGTTGGTCCGCAGTATGTCCATCAATAAGTAGCCGTTTTCATAAGGAAAAACTTTGAAATCGACAACATATAAGTTTTACGGTATTGGTTGACTCATAAAATGTGCGCGGTTTAAGATCTTTAGATACCAGGAACGTCGTCTGATCTGTAATTCTACTGATTATGTCCTGTTTCCGATTGTGATATCTTGACTAAGTATGGATTAGCAAGGCGGTTGATGCAAACATAGAAGGAGATGCTTACCCTGTCAACGAACCGATATCACTCCTTTTGGAGTTCATGTGATTCCCTCAGTTTTGTCCGTTACCTTTCAATCGATTTACGATATTTAACATCTAAAAACTACTTGTGCCTTGATTTACTACAGATGAAGGAATCGCGACCAGTCTTTAACGTCCTATACATTTTTGTCATTCTATGATTTTTTTTTAGCTTTCCTTAAGATATTTATCTAGAAAACGTTTCACATCAGTTAATCTGTATTTGTTTTCCATTCTCAGCATTTTGTTATTTTCATCAGTACTATATTCAGAAAAATATATATATTCATTAAGTAAAGTTAAACTATTTGGCAAAGACACATGGGTGATCTGGAGTGCAATTTTTCAAAAGAAATCTGTGGGAGTATTTTTAAACGTTTTTGTAACTGACTACTTATTTCTCTACACATAAAACAGATGTTTATTTTATTATGATGTAAATTGTTTCATATATCTAGTGTACTTCAGTGTATTGTTTGAAGATATATTCTTATAACCAAAAAAAGTGGGAATGTTGTTTTTCATTACAGTTCTTTATGGTTGCAAAAATTTTCTTAAATGGGCATTAGCTACGATTTAGACAAACATTTAAAATACGAATCATTTTGTTTCAAGTATTAATAAAAGCGGAATTTTTAAATAATATATCGTTATAAGCAGTTAGTTTGGCCCAAATTTGTCAAAATAAGCTCAAAAACATCGCTGGTGTATTATTGACTTGCAAGTGAATAATTCGACCTCACGTGAATCCGTATTCGTGTGATCTTAAATTTAATCCAGAAGCTGGAGATAGGTAACGCATGTCCTAGGCGTGTTCAGCTATTAAAAGGAAAAGAATGTCAACATTGAAAGTGACACAAGGGTGAACCATTTCGTTGACTGCTTCGATCCACAAAAAATCATTCTTATACAGGTAAAAACAATGATTAACTATTTTTTTTTAACTTTTAATATGAAATAAAACAGACTTAGACAAATAATTATATTATGTTTCTATCGGGTTATATGTTCTTCGACAGTCTACGGATGTCATCTCGATGGTTAATTAGTTGGCGTCTAAACTAAAATACACACGTAATGCTGATATATATTATTGAGTCCACGCATTGTTAATTGTTTATTTTAGGCTTATTGTAATTTTGATATACGTTTTAATATGTTATAATCAAAATATTAAAATTTGAGTCAAATCGATGACAGCTAATGCCCCTTTAAACATATATTCTGAATTGAAGGCATATTAAATTCTATTCATCTGTTTTGTATTTCAATGTCCTACAGCAGTTGGAAGGAATCAAATATACGAAGTACACATGGAAACATATATATATAAAACAAAGGTAATTAGGCTCTGATATTCAGGCCAATTTTTTAATGGTTTAAACCATAGTAACTATTTACCTCCATACCGTCATAAAATTGATTAGTATCCATCTAAGGTCAACTTTGCCTGAGAGAGTGAAACCATAGTTTCTTAATCAAAACACTTTGCCCGTATAAAATATAAATTACAAAGATTTACTGACACTTGATCATCAAAAGAAAATTGGTATCGAAAATTAGGTTTCATTTATAATTCCGAATCATATTGAAGTTTCCCGTATGTATTTATTGCCTCAAACTCGAATGGCATGGTCAATTCCTTGGGAATTGCACGCTTGTGTCACCAAATCATTTCAATTTTAATACGTTGCATTCCACAAATCATTATTAAAATAATTTATATTTTGCAATAAATATTCATGTATAATCAGTCTACCATTTTTCGCCACAGGAATTCAGGAAAAAATGTTTAGTAATTTGGTGAAACTCGGATAAGTTTCAAATTGAATGATGTTGTGTAAATTGTTATAATTTGTGGTTATAACGTTGGCTTCACCACTTTCTTTGGAGTTCAGTTCCGCTACATCTGGTACTTGATGTCCATCAGTGGAGGCAGGAGTCCTACCGTTGGAGTTAAAAAGCACTATCAGTGCAGCCGAAAACCAACACACATTGCTCAAAGCCCGGAGTCAATAATGTAAAACCTGTAGCCATACGATAAATGTAAGATGGAGCCCAGAGCCCGACTGATATGTCCAATTATATATATATATATATAAGTGTAAATTGAAAACAACATTCAAACCTATGATTGCGTTGGATAAAAGC